ATTAAACCATATGTTAGTTCCGAAATGACCTAGTTTGTGTCGAGTCAACGTTAAACCCCATTTTCTTTTTGATCTCGCAGAAACAAAAAACTCAGACAGATCGAGTGAGAAACGCAGTATATATATATATTTATATATATTTCTCACTCGACGCAGTATATATATATATATATATATATATATATATATATATATATATATATATATATATATATATATATATATATACTGCGTTTCTCACTCGATCCTGTCTATACTTCTTCACGCTTCATAAAGTTGGATTTTTCTACTTGATTGCAATAACGCATTATCCAAATTATGATACATGGGTGATTTGGTTACATGTTGTAAAAACAGAAGGTTGAAATAAGTTGTTAAAAGGGATGGTGAAATATTAAGGTAATTCCATCCACCTGTGACTATAAAATCTGTTATCAAAGAAACGTTGTCACCTAGGGAATCTAAAATTCATTATATAAATTTTTGCCAATATAATAAATGAGTTACATTAATATGAGCCACTTAGTTTCCACTTCGCCATGGATTATGATTTTGTCAATAAAATAAATGAGTTAGACTAACAAATAGATGATTCCAGATCAGTGTGTGTGAAATCAACCAGTTTAATTGAACATCCCTCTGTCATTGGGGGAGGGGTGGAGATACCATTGAGCCATTGAGTCAAGCGGCATGGATTCGATTCCCCGCCTGTACGTGACAAGGAGTAGGGTCGCCTGTCCAATCTCGTGGGTTTTTCTCCGGGTCCTCCGGTTTCCTCCCCCAGTTAAAGACGCCTACGCGCAAGCGAATTATTGAAATAAAATTGAACCATATGTTAGTCCCGAAATAACCTAGTTGGTGTCGAGTGGACGTTAAGTCCCATTTATGTCCCTCCCCTAGGTCTTCTAGGTCATTTACTTTGTTCAGAAGTACACAGTTGCGGGCGCGTAAACATGAAAGTGATTTACGAAGCGTAAGTTGACTTTTTAGGTGTATTTGTCTGGTTTTCGTGTTAAATTGCAATGTAATTACGAATTTGAAATTCGATATCAGTTATAACTGAACACTGCCCATATAAGATGGTAATTTAATTCAAGCTCGATCGGTTGACAAAAGTAATAATATTATCCGAACTGACTTTTACTTTAGTAGCCCCCAATGTTTGGATATCAATTGCCAAAGCCTGATTTATCCCAACTTCCATTACCTCGAGGGGTCAATGCTCGCTTGATCATCTTGAATTTGTTGAAGACCATAAAACTGGCTTGTTTTATATTCGAATTGCCGGAGATAATACTGTTCGTTGTCCGTCAGTTCGTTTTTGTGGTCTTGGATTAAGTTATTTATTACGCCGATTGTTCGTTTATTATGGTTCGAATCTATAGTTGTATATAGCCGTTTGTCATTAAGTATTTTAAGGACGTTTGTCTCATATTCCAAATTCATAATGATGACACCCAACTTATCGCTTTCTTTAATAAAGATCGTGTTGTTAGATTTCAAAGAATTGATAGCACACTCTTCCTCCTTAGGCACATTTGATTTTGCGTTTCGGTTTATAGGCTGTGGCAACATCGGTAAGTAGTCGATGAAATTGTCCAGTGTGACTTTTTTTCCTCACAATATCCTCTGGCACAGTTTCATCCGTTTCACTGCAACATTCCTTAAGTGGTAACTTCTTGCAGAAATCGTTGATATCACACTGTAATTCCTGTATATTGGATCTAGGCGTGGGTGTGAATTTAGGCCTTTCTGAAGGAGGTTTATCTCGTGAAGATTTAAGACTACAGATGATTCATTTGTTATCTTGGTGTACTGGTTCTCGCGATTTGGTATTGCGGGTATTTTTCTTTTCATCATGCCATCGACGTTCATTTTATGAAAAGGGAAAAATTGGAATTTTACATGTAGGTGTTTTGCACATCTAAAGATATATCTATTTACAAATACGGGTCCATTTTAATTTTACAATTCCGTCGATGGTTGCATACTCTATCCCTCAGATGTGTGCCTGTCTCTCCGATGTAAAAATATCGCCAAATATTACAAGTCAAGAGATATATTGTCGTTGACGCTTAATGTAAAGTTATGAAAAATATATATTTGTAATTTGGATTATATATTTCGCAACATTTACATCGAAGATCCGGGCATTTACATATGTACAAATATATGCAAGGAGCATTTTATATTAGGTCAGGTAGCGAGACAAATTCCTCACTGCTGACAAACACTGCCCCACTACTTAGTAAAACAAATGAAAGTAGGGGGGGGGGGCAATAACCGATGATGTTAAATGAATACCATACGCTGTTGGTACTATTTGATATTTGAGAGCAGAAAAATAGCATATTTAGGAAATCATTCAAGATGCATTAAGTAATATATTTGGACAAAGAATGGTCCATTCTCGCTATTACCAAAATAGATAATGCAAAGAGAGTATATTCAAAATTTCATTCAAATTTTCCAAGATATCACTGTTTGAAGTTTCGATAAGATATGGCATAAATTGTATATTATCGCAACAACAGTACTAGTTAGCTATTCGAGACTCGTTCGCCATTTTTCGATTAAATCATTGAATGATCACACCTTTCTAATCTACTTAAAATCGGAGCCATTCGATGCCTCAGGTGGTTGATTATTTGCTTGTCATGTTGATAAATGTTTCTATAACATTTTTATCCAAAATAAAGGCCTGCAATTGGGAGATTCAGTTCTTACCCAATTGGTCTTCAAACTTGTAACATAAAGTACGGGGTCTACACATCCAAAAACTGATATAAGTTATGCCGAAATTCAAAACGTGTTTTCATGTCCAGCGGGAGGCCATGTCTCCGTTTCAGATATTTTAGAAGGTTATGTAAACATTGTTCCTACACAATCTAAGATCAATGTCGATATAGCCAAATATACACAAATGTACAACACACTTTTTTTTAAATATGTACAGTTCTAGAATGGGAAATGGTGTCACGTGCTGTCGAGGGAGTAAGTAATCACTGGTTCGAGCACAACACCCGTAAAATGTAAATAATATTAGCACGTGTATTAAAATAACGAACCGTGAAGTTTTGGCCTTTAATTGTACAATAACAAGGATTCAAAATTTATATTCAATATAACATTTAAAGACCAAAATCATTTAGTGTGTCAATAAATGAAATGGAATTTAACGTCCTACTGTTCTTTTTTTCAATACGAAAACGACATTTAATAGCTAAAACCATTTACTTTCGATACAAAAATGGCATTCAATACGAAAATCCACTTGGTGCAGATGTTGTAATGTGGTCAAAACAAACTGATTATACAGTTTCTTTCAGGTAATGAAATTAAGTCCAAAAAATCTGAATAAGGCACATCATAACAATCATCACAGCAACTGAAAAAGAGAACATAATTTACATTACACTAGCTAAATATACTATATCGTACCTATCAATGTCAAATTATTTGGTTATGTATTTAAAATATTCAATGTTTACACCATATTATGTATTGTGCATTTAATTATGTGTACACCCATGTACATATGTACTATCAATAGAGAAGGGCTTTGCATAGGCTGTCTGTTCCCAAATCCAATTGAGATATCCTAAATCAAATATGGTTCTTAAGAAAAAAAAGTTCGTAGAAATACAAACAGTATTTGACCGAGGTTTGAATTCCTGTCACGTGTTTGTTTGTTTTTATACTATTATTCAAGTGATAGAAAATGAATTATAATGTTTTCTTTTCTAATTTCCTTTATTGGTCGATTTGATAAAATCACCATACCTAATATTTAGTAAAGAACATCTTTATGATTGGCAAATGAGGGACAAGGAAGTACAATTATTTCGAAGGAAGGGCAATAACTCTGCTAATAATCTTCGTCTTAATTTTCTATATATTCCTAGCTCGAATACACTATTTTGCCTATAACGTTTTTTAGGACTTCGAATTCTGTCTTATGGTTTGGATTGTTCGTACTTGGTTTTATTTTATATTAAAATATTTAAGTTAAAATAAGGCCAACAAATTTGAGTAAATTCTTAACGTAAATCTGAGAATGCTTTGAGAACTCCGAGCCTGATCTATATCGTGTTCACAAGCTTTAACGAAATCGGATAAAAACTGTAGTCTCTATCACATACACGGGGATTTCGAAACAGGGAAATTAACTCTGTTATGGAAATCCGTCCTCTCACAAACCCAATGCTTCACTCCTAATGATTCACATCCGCTCATGATTCCAATGCTTCTTACCACATTTGATAGACAGGGTTCGACCTAGAATGTTTTACGCCGAGTTTGAAAACGATCCGTCAAACTGTAGCCTCTATCACGTTAACAAACTATTTGTTGACAGCCGCACGGACCGGGTGACGACTACAATATACGTAGTTTTTGGCAGATGCAAATCCTAAAAATATAATCCATAGATATGGCGTTTTCATCAATAATACATAGCTTTTTACGTGGTTTGAATATAAGCGTCATTTAATGGAATTGTCAGTAGAACTTCAAACATCAAAGATATCAATTAACTGTCCCCAATTTGCTTTTATACAAGCCACGCACAATTACTATCTTACTCAACCGACATAAAGAAACTTTCGAAACAATTAAAGCTTTTAAAAGTCACACACAATTTCTATCTTACTCAACCGACATAAAGAAACTTTTGAAACAATTAAAGCTTTTACCAGCCATACATAATTACTATCCTACTTAACTGAAATAAAGAAACTTTCGAAACAATTAAAGCTCTTGTAGAGGTATTAAAGTTGTATGTCATTTTAACAACCAAGTGTAGCCACTATCTAAATTAAAACTGTTCATTACCTGCACAAAATTCCACTCTTTACGTTTATTGGACGAATGTCGACCAATCATATTTCAGTATCGTATTGTTTCAGTAATTATCTGTTCATTTATCGTTAATATATATCACAAATCGTTTTAACCCCTGTCAGTGATATCATTCTAGGAAGAGACAACCGGTAAACAAACCAGTAACCCATGTGGAATCATTGTATTTTAAAAACGACTTTACTGACTTCCACTGTGGATGTGTTCCGATGTCCAAGGTGATGATCTGATGTTTTGTTATTTACTGAAATATTCAACTATGTTATAGATTTTACATTACCGCGGAATATTCCAGGTTTATTGGTAAGTTAAATAATCAAATTTTACTATTTTCTATACTGTGTATTATTAAGTTTCCGTTGTGACGAACGGGGTTGTTTTATGGAGGTCTTTTCTATGACGATAACCTTTTGTTGCATGTGACTTTAAACCCCATTTAATTTGTTGTACGATTGTATTTTTACCGACGATTCATCAATCTGATTAAAACACAGATCCTATTTCGTTTCGTTTTTTAAAGTTCAAAATTTCGTTTTACCTGTCTTTACTACATTAGGATCTGGAAGAGTTGTTATCATTGACGTGTTCTGAATGGTGTTCTGAATTAGCCAATGAAACGGTCTGTTACGGCGAGCTTTAGGCGTGTTTGCACGCAACTGTGGGTAATCCACTTGCAACATCAATGCTGATTGGTTAATCAAATGTCTGACGGCATAGGTCAAAAGCCGCTCGTATGACACCTGACGCGATCTTTCACTACACCCGGTCAGATATTCATGTAGTGTAGGCCATCGAAAGTATAAAAAAACGAAACGAAATATAGATCTGGGTCCGTATTCAAAGGTTTTCTTAAAGTTAAGTAAAAATACTTAATTTTTCCACTTAACCAAGTGTCTTACCTTAAAGGGACAATAACACTCTTGCTGGCTTGAAAGCTCCAGAAAATAAATAATATCTTTATCTAAGTACTAGATGTTTAAGTGTCCTACCTGTTGTGTAAATTATCCATTACACCCTATTTTACTTGTCCAGAGGGTTCGAAAATATTTTTAAATCGAAGTTTCATTTGAAAAGGTTTACGTTAGACGTTTCAAACCATTATGTTGAATTTTTGAAAAATTTTAAATAAGGTGTCTTAAGATGAAATTTGTATCATCAATAAATTGAAATATTCTAAAATAGTACAATTTGTTGACCAGAATAAAGATTGGGACATATTATTCAGTTACAACAAGAGTGGTATTGAGCCTTTAAATTGGTATTCAAAGGCTCTATTTTATACTAGCCAAAAAGCATGAATTTCTAACTTATGGAATAACCTCCACTGCCAAAAATCACGAATTACTCACGTCGCACGCAAGTTATGTCCCCTTAAAAGTACTGCACTATACTAAATTATATTAAAATCTTAGTTGTCATTACTAAAAAAATGTTTGTCGAAATATTATATGGTACGCATCTGTTACCGGAATAGCTGAATTCGTATAGATGATTTTCAAAAAAAAACAAAATTAGATTTCAATAGCAGTTATCGAATAGTGGTAGTATAATGATGGACATTGTAAACTTTATTATAACGAATAGCAAATAACATATTAGCAATACGCAGGGCTAATGGCTTTAAAGTTAAACTGAACAAATCATTCAGTCCTGTTTATCAATCTATCATTTGAGAAATTCATAGAAATTGTGTCAGTTCCTAAACTTTAGAATCCCAAAGGCTTGGCCATGACGGTCCATTGTAAATCATTTGTGGCACGCCTCGGTCAGCAGTCATCATCATATACCATACTGCACGCAGCGACCCATCTACGTCATACTTCCCAGAATGTGACACTGCACTGATTATCCGCCATTTAAAACGCTCATGTGATCATTTTGGGGCGGGACTCGAGACCGCTTTGTTTAGACAACAGAGTAAAAATAACCCACGCACGTGTGTTTTATGTAAACACGGCATGTCGCTGACACTCGCGTAAAAGCGATATATAATATGTGCTATGGGTAATATTGCAATAAATTCTTTACCATTGTAAACTGTCTTTAGAGTTTCAATCTGTTTATCTTTCAAAACAAGGTTAGATACTCCTAAATTTGTTTTCGCAAATAAAACCGCCTCTGTGAAATTATGTTTCATGGGCGCTGCCATATTGAATAATTAGAGGACTATTTTGTGATTCGGCTTTGATTAGTTTGACATTTTTCATACACACAGCGGCTAAATAAACATATTAAATTTCATTCAATATGACAATAGAAGAGAAATAAATACTTCAAATATGTATATGGGAATGAACTGTAAAAAATAAACCATTCCTTGCCTCTCGCGGTAGTAATATTTTCTGCAATCTACAATTGAATGTCATCGCAATGTCAAATTTAAAAATAAATTTAACGCATCAAACTTTATTATATGACAGTCATGGCAAACATGATTGATTAAGCAATACGAACATGATAGTAACCATTTCGGTGGTAGTAACCTTTACACTATTATGTCTCTAAAAAATCAAAGCTGATGATGGAAAAAAAACAACGTTGGATGCCAGCTACGCTCAGCGGCATTGTCTTTGTTTCAATCTTAGTTACTAACTTTTAAAATCGCCATTACGGCATTGTGTGCTCCGGTCAAAAGAAGTCATTATAATCTCACTTAACTTTAAGGTACCTCCCATAGGTCACTTTAAGTTAAGTGCATTTTTCTCATTTAAACTGGCCTTTGAATACCACTAAAAGATTAAACACTTATAAGTTAAGGCAGCTTAACTTTAAGGGAAAATTCGATACTTAACTGCCTTTGAATACCACTTACCCTTAACTTACAGGAAGTTACGTATGTTTCAAGTATATATAGCTAAGTCCGTAACTCAATATCATCCAAAATCTTCGACATTGAAAACACGAATTGTTTGGCAATTTAAATCAGCGTTGATGTTGTGACCTTACCTGGAAAAGATGGGCGTCTGATATTCAATATTTGAGACAAAAAAAAACAAAACATTTTACAATTGGTACACGAATCGTGTAGGTGTACCATAATGCGTTTCAGCGTCATTTGTAACAAGGTGCTCAAAGAATGAGGCTAGACATATTCCACAACTCATGTCAAATGGAGATGCCATATTCTTATTCGCAGAGCATGCGCAATAAATACTATCGGTATTGACTGGAATAACCAGACGCTAGAAGCTGTCTTTCGGTTGAGACTTCTGGCGTATTTCACCGATCATAACCGATGACAATTCATAGTAAAACGGAAACGATAGAATTTAAAACAGTTTATATAAATTCATATTACATTATTATATGTGTTGCGACCCATTTGTGCCAATTTCTAGGTCCAAAATATTAGCGATTTAGCTCCTTTAAGTGAAATCTAGTACTTAAGTGACTATCGTAGACTTCAGATATCCTTTGAATACGGACCCTGTATTTTAATCGGAATGATGGTTCATTGGATGACGACCAATTTATCTCACTTCCAATGTAATATTTATGTTCGAGTGTGTCCTTTTTTCAACTTGGCAAGATACAACATATAATTGTTCGGATGGTGGGAAATATAATGAAATGAAATTGGGTTTAACGTCCTCAGGTGGTACGAAACCCCATGGAAACTCGGAAACATTGACATGTACGTACAAAAACCTTTGGCAGTTTTAATTCGAAATAAGAGTAGATCGTAGCGCCGCTATCCGGGCAAAGTTTTCCTAATATCACACAACATGGTGTATGCCCATCATCATTAGCCCGAATTTAGCAGCAATCCATGACATTATTTTAATACTTTTCATTTCATGTTGTAGACAAAAACAACTAATTTAGGGGTTTGAGTACATGGTCCGTATTCAAAGGATACCTTAAGTCTAAGATAGTCACATAACTACTAGATTTCACTTTAATATACGTAACTTCCTGTAAGTTAAGGTTAAGTGGTATTAAAAGACAATGTTAAGTATCACATTTCCCCTTAAAGTTAAGCTGTCTTTAAGTAATATTCAAAGGTCAGTTTAAGTGTGAAAAATACACTTAACTGTAAGTGGCCCATGAGAGTGTACCTTAAAGTTAAGTGAAATTATAATGACTTCTTTTAACCGGATTACACAATGTAGTGACAGGCCAGTTGACAATTTTAAAAGTTAGCGGATTGGGATTGAAACAAAGACAATGTCGCGGGGCGTAGTTCTCCCCAAAACCTTTTTTTTAACATCAACTTTGATATGGTTGCTGATTGGTATATCATGTCGTGATATCGCCCTTCATGATTTCTCTTTGACAGGGATGCAGAACGGAGGGCCTGGTAAGGGATAACGTATAGTCGTTCGGATGAGACGAAAAACCGACGCCCCGTGTACATATTGGCGTGCAGGTAAAAGACCCCCTGACAGTTGGAATTCAATAGAAGAGTAGGCCGTAGCGCCACTATCTGGGCAAAGTTTCCCCCACATCACACTGTATAACGTATGCCCGTCTTCATTAGCCCAGTTGGAGCAGAGCAGTAGGACCTTAAACCCCACTTCATTTCATTTTCCTACACCAATCCGACTATTGATGTTGTATCGCCATAATAGTCTATAAGGTTACTACCACCGAGATGGTCAAGGATTTTGTTCTGATCAGTTATCATGTTCGTATTGCTTAATCATGTTTTTCATGACTGTCATATAATAAAGTTTGCTGCGTTAAATTCATTTGTAAATTTTTACATTGTGATGACATTCCATTTATACTGCCGCGATAAGCCATTCACGAATAATTCTCTGCTATTCATTCACATATACATAATTGAAGTTAGCTGCGGATTGAGAATAGTATTGAGTGCAACTTGTTCTTGTCTTCGTTCGTGTATACATTTACAAATGATGATGATTGCTGGCCCAAGCGTGTCACCAATGATTTACATTTAATTTATTGTCTTACCTATTGCGTTTAGTCGGTAATATTTATTCGGGTAGAAATACGCCCAATGTACCTTCAACGCCAGGCCTTTCGGATTCTAAATTGTAGGCACTAACACAATTTCTATGAATTTGTCAAATGATAGATTGATAAACAACACTTAATGATTTGTACAATCCAACTAAAAAGCCAAAGGTCCTGCCATATAGCTAATATGTTGTTTTCTATCGCTATACGTTGTTAAAATAATAAAGTTTACAATATTCATCATTATAGCACCACTTTTCGAAAACTTCAATTGAAATTTATGGAAACGGAATTTTTTAAAAACATCTACTAAAACAACTGATCCGGCAACGGGTGCGTGCTATCATATTCATCATAAATTATAATCATACTATTTT